GACCGTGTAAAGTGCAAGAGAAGGGGGCACGCTACGCGTCCCTCGACTCTAAGGGGGCACGCTACGCGGCCCTCGTCTTTACCTTTCTATGTGACCGCCCACGCAACGTTTGGCTCAAGTCAATGCCCATAGCTAAGTGCTATAAGTGTCTTCTATCCTGAGCAATCAGAGCTATCCCGTTGCACAGACGAACCGCCGCCTGCAGTGAGTGCAAAAGGAACGGCCGCCGGTTCTGCCTGCATAGGATTGCACGTGTGGAAGTGTGAGAGAGACAGGGTCCAGTCTGTGGAGAGTGCAACCCAGCCACACCTACATTCATTACAGCTCTGGTGGGGAGAGCAGCAACCTAGTCGAGATCAATCCCCCACGCAGGTTATCAGCCGTACGCGGCTCTGCCTTTCTACAGCAACGACTACTTGATCTACTACGACCACAATGAACTCGGGACCAAGCCAAGATACGACAATGACTTTCGGTGCCGATGTGGCAGCGCCAGCCGTTGGTGAGTCAACAGCTGATGACACAGTGGTGCAATCCGTTGATAGCTCCACGGAATATGACAAAGGTCAATCTTCTGCGCTTGCCATCGCAAAGGCAGTTCCCAAGGGGAAAGCAAAGAGTCTACCAAGAGCATCTACTCCTTCACGTCCGACATCCACAGGTTCGAGGACGGGCAAGGCTTCAGAACGACGGGCCGAAGCGTCTGGTTTTCAGGCACCTCGGACCACGTCCAGGGCCAAGGACAAAGGAGTCAAGACCTTGGAAAAGAAGTCAAGACCATCATCTTCGAGAAGCTCTTCAGCACGATCGAGGACTTCGGCTACTCGTGGGCGTGACAAAGCCATGACTTGGAATCGGATGGTTACCAATCAACCACGTGATGCTGACGATCTGGATATGACTCTGGACACTATCCCAGCACGTGGTGATGCATCATCGGTGACCACGCCAGCCATAGCCGATGGTCCGAATGCCTATCAGGAACTGACGATTTCGCAACAGCTCGAAGCATCTAACCTTGCGCAGCAGATGTACTATCGCAGTCAGATGCAAGAATACGAAGGAGTTGTTCAGACCCTGATGGACAAGATAAAGGAGATGCAACAAGAAGATGAAGGATCTGGAATTCGCATTGAAGAATTGGAACGACAACGTGACCATGCATGCTTAGCCATGAGGCACATCAACAATGTCAATCAGGAGATGAAGCGAGACTATGAAACAGCTTTGTTTCGCATGGATGAGCAGAACTCTGCTCAACAACGTCAAGCACATTCCGTTGCCGAGGATTTAGCTCAACAGCTACACGTGTTCCGCACGGAGGCAGCCACCAACTTTGTGCAGTTGGAGGCAAGAGCGCAAGGTGATGGTGAGCTTATGGCACGGGAGTATGAGCGTCTGACTCATGAACTTCATGAACACGCCAGAGAGAACTTGGTCCTCCGGTCAAACACAGCAAGTTCGGAACAAGCCTTACCAGCAATGCAGGAACGATTCCACTTGGTCAAGAACCAGGAGTTGCGGGCCGTGAACGAGATCCAAGGGCTAGCTGGAAACAGCGCAGCCATTGATCAAGAACGATTTCGGCTTCGCGAACGTCTTGGCGAAGAAGAAGAGTACCGCAAAATGGCTGTGAAGAGGATGCAAGATGCAGAGGACCGACTTCATCAGAATGAAGATCATGCAAGGCGTGCATTGCCTACCTTGCACGACGAGCTGAGTGAGCTCAGGAAAACGCTCAAAGCACAAGAAGATCTTCAAGCGAGGACACGCAGCGAATTGGAGGCAGCGCGAAACTCCAATTACGGAGGAGCGACACGGCCTTCAAGCATGCCCATGTCTTCGAGGACTACTGAGTCTGGCTGGGAGCACGTAGGAAAGGAAGTAGTGCCTGCATTTTCCGTAGGAGGTTAGGTACGATCCCCTGAAATACGGTCCCCAAGTCAAGTTAGTCCAGTCGCCAAAGAGAAGTTCGCATTCTCGGAATCGGACAAGGACAAGAACCTTGTGATGGATGGAATTCCATTCACCGGTGGAAACTTCTTCACTGGCCGCAGCTCAATGCCAATCGTGGCGGATGCAATGCCCGAGCACTACGTGCCAGGTATTAGCAGCCCAGCACTTGCGCGTTCCACGCCTAGTGCAGCCACTTTGTTCGGCATACCAAGCGGATTTCATGGGAAAAGTGATGCGGCAGCCGTGCGTGATCGACAGCTACGCGAACTCTTGGAGGATCGCGGGATGTTTGGATCGAAGTCCACAGCATCTGCCAGCTCCTCAAGACCTGTTGGTGTCGACGGCATCACCGCATCTACGAAGGGCAACGACCTCATCGGTCCCCCTATTGCCTATGACGATTCCATTCATGAAGCAAGGAGACGTCAGATCGAGAAAGAGGTCGCGGAACGGTACGAGAAGAAGATTGCCGATCTGCGAAGCGAAGTACTCAAGGCCCAGAAAGCCGAACAACGTCTCAGAGCTGATCGTGATGAGTGGAGATTATTCGCTGAAACGATTCAGGAGGATAATGGAGACGATGACGGTGACGAGGCTGGCGACGAGAACGAAGATGGAGAGCACGATGAAGGAACCGGAACGGGGTATGACCCTCCTGACCCGCCTGATGATGATGATGATAAGAAGAAAAGCGGTGGAGGCAAACCTGAATCGGATCCTGGATCTCATGCGCGTGATCCTGATGGAGACGCAGATCCTGAAGTCACGGAAGTGAGAATTTCCAGGCGGGAGGCCGACAAAGTGACCGTACCTCCATGGCCTACTCTCACTCACCTCAACAACTGGCGATCCGTATGCACGGCGAATGTCTTAGGAGCATCAGCCGATCCAAATCATGAGGACTGGATGTTATGGCTGGCACCAGCATTCAACCCATTCCCTGATGTCGAAGCACTGAACGATTTCAGGACACAAGAAGTTCAAGAGCGTAGACGTCAAATTGGGGATCGCAATGGTCGCAATGCTACGCGCTGGTGGTGACAAATCTGCTGACCTGTACCTGGAGGTAAACCGGAAGGCCAACGATTACATCAGCAGGCCCGAAGGGAAGATCATCAAAGGACGACAAATCATTGCGATGATGTATGAAAGCTTTCGAACGCATGATCGTCTCGACATGATCATCACTCTCGAGTATCTGGTGAAGCTTCAGTACCAAGGCGACAACAAGCTTCATACGTTCAAGCAGACGTGGTTGGAAGTTCTGGGACGGATGAGGCCAGAAGACATACCATCCAAAACAGCTCTCCGTGATTGCTTGTACAGCAAGATCAAGGACTCGCCCGCAATGAAGATGGAGTTGGGCATGCACTACGAACACTTGCCCTGCAATCATGAAGACCGATCGTACGACAATTTGATGAAGATCATTGACCGTACCATCATGCGGAGACGAGAACAATCAAATCTCACTCAGACCCAATTGGCTTGCGCCAGATGCTTGAGGGCAAGGTTTTGCTTGCTGCACCGGCCAAGGTACCTGAGAAACCAACGCCTAACGCAGCTCCATCCGCAAAGGTCAAGGCTTCGCCGACCAAGCCGGATAAAGCAACACCTGTACTACCTCAAAGCAAAGCGAAGAGTCATGCGAAGACCAAGCCAAAGCCCAAGAAGAAGACGAGGAGTGAGTCAGCGGACAACAGAGGCGACAATAGCAAGAAGCAAATCCGCTGCAAGTTCCATTTCACAGATGCAGGGTGTCGAAATGGTGACAAGTGCCCATTCAGTCACTCGAAGAAGACTCCAGAGCGACCCTTTACGCCGAGGACGAGAACTCCAAGTCCATCTGGAGGAGGAGGAAACAGGATATGCTACTCGTTCAAGAACACAGGCTCGTGTTCAAGGGAGAATTGTCCTTTCAAGCATGAGGCAGCAGCTACCCCAGCTCCGGAACCAAAGGCAAAGGCCAAAGCCAAATCCGAAGCGAAGGCAGCTCCAGCGAAGCCGAATGCCAAGGCCAAGGCGCTCCCTGCGGCACCCGCCATCAGATTGTGCCGAAGGTGGAATCCATCAGCTCCGGCGATATGGAAGCGATCCTCAAGACAAGATGAGGAGGAGTCAGATTGTCCATCCGTTGACAGCGACGCTGATTCGGATTGTTCAACAGACGACGAATCCTCGGGACCGACTACGTCGACCCGAAAAGGGATCAAGCGTAATGTGACATTCGCCGATAACGTGAAGTTCATTTCTTCGTGTCCTAGAAGATCGAAGAAGGACAAAGAGCGGAAGGTGAAGTACGTCGACATGGAAGCGCTTGTTAACGATGAGGATCGCGCCGTGAATTTGGAATTCGACAAGCACAAAGCGAGATTGAGGGCACAGATTATGAGAGACATGGTTGACGACGATGATGATCAATGTGGAGATCGAGTTTCATTCGTGTGAATCCCAGGAACGTCTCGGGTGGAGGAAGTCTCCTTCTACGACGGTGAGGATTCCATCGTTGAGCGTGAACTCGATGCTGCGCACAGCAAGCGGATCATCAATCAAGGTGTATGCAAATGCATGGTTCAACCAGTCATCCTCAAGAAGAAGATCAAGTTTCTCATGGACACTGGGTGTGGCCATGACCTCATATCTCAGAAGAAGATCGAGAAGCATAGTCTTGAGACACTCGTGACTCCAGAGCCCATA